CCCCCCGCCGCGCCTCCGCCGCCGGCCTGCACGGCCGCGTCCGCCGTCTCGACGCGCCGCCGCCCGTCGCCCGCCGCGCGCGCGTGCGCCGTCGCCGCCGCGGCCTCCGCGGCCGCAAGCTCGTCGCCGCCCGCGGCGCCTGACAGCGCACGAACGCGTGCCTCCGCCTGCAGCGCGCGCGCGACCAGCAGCCGCCGCTCCGCGACCAATGCCTCGGCCGCCTCGCGCTCGGCCGCGGCCTCGCGGCGCGCGCGGGCGGCGTCGTCCTCTGCAGCCTGCAGGCGGGACTCGAGCTTCGACAGCTTTGAGGTTGCGGCTGCCGCGGCCTTCTCCGCTTTGAGGCGGGCGGACTTGGACTCCAGGAGGCTGTTTTCAAACTCCACGTTTTCGGCGGCCATGGACTGATTAGAGGTCAGGATGGCACGGCGTGTGAGTTGTGGTTTCGTGCGTGTGTGTGTGTGTGTGCGTATGTGTGTGTGTGTGTATTTGTGTGTGCTTGCCAAATATGCATGCCCTTGCCCCGGTTCTAAAACACCGCCCTGCTCGCCAATTTGACTCGCCCATCGACGCAGACCCGCTGCACTCAAACACCCCATGGCCCTGCATGCCAACGCAGCCGCACAAACACACGCAAGCACTGCCTGCCAGACGGGCAGCCCCAGGCACCTGTGCGCGGTCAGCAGCCTCCTGCGCCGCCACCTTGTATGCGTCGCGCTCCTGTGCCAACCGGTGCAGCGCCGCCGCCGCAGCCCCCGCCTGGGCAAGCACACAAGGGCAGCAGGCCACGTGAGAGCGCGCATCTCCTACTGTTGAACCCCCACTGTCATCAAGCACCCTGCAACGCTTGCCGTTGACAGTTGACCGCAGCCCCCTCCCCCGCCCCCTGCAGCACCCCAGGGCGCGAGGCTCACCTCCGCAGCCTGCTGCCTGCCCGCCTTCCGCTCCTCCTCCAGCGCCGCCAGCAGCCCCGCGTTCCGCTCCTCGAGCGCCCGCATCTCGTCCGCCATGCCCTCCGCCAGCTTGGCCTGCTGCTGCAGGCCGCGCATCAGCTCCAGCTTCTCTGAGGTCAGCTCGTCGATGTGGGTCTGCAGGACCCTCAGGCTCGCAGACTGCTGCGACGGCGGCAGCGGCGCGGCGGCGGGCGGCGGGGGCGGGCCGGGGAGGGCGCCGGAGCTGGGG